TGTCTTACTGCTAATGCAATAGTTTCTTACATGTCATCGCTGTATCTTTAAATAAACTTCATATCGAAATACGCGAACGTATATTTAGGCATACCTTATATGTATATCCAGCATAATTATACTCTTACTGTTCTTACGAGTCTTAGATGGGAACGACATATGTAGTCGTAAAGAAAACCATTTCACTCACACATCCATCAATAGTGTCTGAAAGCGGCCCAATAAATACGCATCGTTCAGCGTTAGGAAGAAAAGGGCGATATTATCAAGGATTACTTCCCTTTTTCATATTATTATTCTCTTTGTCTAGCCGCTTATATCCCGTCGGCGGATGTGATCCTCGTGACGTAAGAGTGGCCTAGATGCTTTCGACAAATATGACCAGGAGGCACCATATGTGGTTATTGTTGTGCTCCATTTATTAAGATATAAAATACGAACTGATGTAAAGTGGGGTTTAGGAAAAGCCTTTGATTTGGCAGATAGATGGTATGAAATCAGAGGCAAAATAAACTGCACAAATAGAGAATGAAGACAGACATGAGGCAAAAATGAAGGTGAGTTAGTGGTTAGGATATGGGGATAATTTGAAAGGAACTGCTTCAACGGAAACGGCCGATAGGAAGGAAAGTATAGTCGGAAATATAATTGAAATTGCTTGGATAGTAGCAAACAATTCAGAAGAACAAAAAGAAAGAGTTAGGTATAATTCTCTACTGAAATGACGGAAAATGCAATAAGAGAAGAAAGAACGAACAACAATGTGGAGGAAGAAGGAGGTGGAACTATAGGCACGAAGGGTGAAAAACAAGTTTAAGAATTGGGTGCTGAATATGAGTAAAAAGTTTGCGACAAATTTTAGGATAAAAGAAATATAATGTGGAAAAGTATATAAAAGTTTGAAGCCTGTAAGAGTAAAGGAACGTTCAGCAGTCAGAAACAGTCAATGAAAAAGAATGGAAATGAGCAAAACATACTGGCGAAAAATAATAAAAAAAAATAACATGAAAGAATAATGACATTTGGTTAAAGTTTGAAAATATATGAAGAAGACATTTAATAATAATAATAATAATAATAATAACAATAATAATTTTAAATGAGCAGGGAAAATTTCATGAAGCCATTTCTGACATTGGGTCACATGTTGAGACCAGGAAGGAAATGTGTATACAACAGAAATCAAATGATATAATAACAATAACAATAATATCAACAACGACATCGACAATAACAATAATAATAATAATAATAATAATAATAATAATAATAATAATAATAATAATAATAATAATATTTGGGACATGAGGACAAACAATTCCAGGTGTTGTTGTAGCCCTCGGATTGATTGGAAAATGTTCTGATAGACACATTCAGGGATTCTTGGTAGCACATGCCTTAAAGGAATGCAAAATATTGTAGCAACAAATACGGCTCACACGTTATGAAAAGAATTATCTATATAAAATGCATTTGATCATGATTTTTTTTTTTATTACAAACAAAATGATAAGGTGAAAATTTCATGAAGCAATTTCTGACCTTAGGTCTCTGATTGGGACCCGGAAGGAAATATTTATGCAATAGATATCAAAGGAAATAATAATAATAATAATAATAATAATAATAATAATAATAATAATAATGTGGCATAAAAATCTCAAAAATGTGGCATATAAATCTCGAAAATGTGGCATATGGGAACATCAACAATCACTGTTGTAGTTGGCTCCCTAGGACTGGTTGGAGAAGATTGCAGTAGACTAATTGAAGGGATTCCTGGAAGTCCATGCCTCAAGGAGATACAAAAATTATTCTGACAACTACAACCCACACTTTACGAAGGGTTTTATCTATGTAATTTTTTTTTTTTTTTTTTTTGTCAGTGGAAAGTGTCATGATGCCATTTCTAATCTTAGGTCCCTGGGCGGGACCCGGAAAGAAGTGTGTAAACGCCAGAAATAAAATAACATAATAATAATAATAATAATAATAATAAGAAGAAGAAGAAGAAGAAGAAGAAGAAGAAGAAGAAGAATATGAGAAAGGTTAAGGAGAGTGTATCTAGAAAAATAAGAGCTAAAGTTATATTTCTTTTAAAATCCTTTAATTTTCTTTCATTCTGATATTCTCGAATTGGCTTGTGTGCTCAGTTTCGTATCCAAAACCTAGTCAAATCAATCGGTAATGAACTAATCAATTATATTTTTGGAATCCGAAATATTTTCATTACTTCAAACAGTGAATACCTGTATTTGAGTAGATGATCTATTTTATTTTGGACATTATTTATTCAACTAGCTTGCGTAATCGTTCATAAAAATTATTTTAAAAAATGTACCCTCTGACAGGTTTCGAAACTACGTCCAAATTTTCAGATTGAATCAGAGTCTGATTCCAGCATGTTTAATCAGCTCGGCTTCTAAGTTTTTCACAATCAAGTAAATAGAACATTGCTTGATTTTGAAACTCTTCCTCTGTGTGTATGTGTCTATCTCTGTGTGCGTGCGTGTGTATGTTCGTGGCTATAAAAAATAAATTATAAGTATATCCTCACAAATAATTAGAATAAAATAATTATAACAATGATAATCACAACAGACTACACTTTTCTCATCTAGAGACGCAAGCCGTGAAAAAATTACTATCGGACAGAAAGTCAACGATGACAGGCCGTGAATACCCACGTCTATGAAAATTATGTCTTCTTTTTACTTTTCACATAATAAGAAAAGTTGTCTCTTAAGGCTCAACCAAAATTCATGGTAAAACTCCAGAGCCATCTTGTATTTTCCGACAAAATTATCTGGACACTCTTTACACACATCCATATAAAAATAAATATGAAAAACATTTTATATAATTTAATTATTCTGTATGTTATAATTCTAACGGGCCCCGATCCATATTTGAACTACATTTGATCACAAAAATCTTACTATTTTACTCCCTAATACATTGCCTCCAGCAACACATGACGAACAAGTAATAAATACTCGATTGGTAAATGCTGCATTGGCTGTTCCTCAATTTTATGTATTCTATTATATATATATATATATATATATATATATATATATATATATATATATATATATATATATGTGTGTGTGTGTATATATATATATATATATATATAGGTATGTGTGTGTGTGCATATATATATATATATATATATATATATATATATATATACTAGTAATAATTTTATAAATATAAGAACTTACACTCGTCCGGAAAAACCTTCGGTGTCTTGATTTGCAAATAATCAACCAATACCAAAGTTAAAAAAAGGTACAATAAAGAAAGAACATGTACGTCAGCCGAAAATAATCGTCTAGCATTCAAGTCCAGAGTCAAAAGAAGAAAAAAAAAGCGATACGAGTAAGTGAAATAACTAAATAAAATGCTCAAATTTGTAAAAGTATGTTCTTCCAGGAATCCCTTGAATAAGTCAACTGGAATCTTTTCCAATCAATCCGAGGGCTCCAACTACAAAAGGGATTGTTGATGTTCCCGTGTGCCACATTACTGCGGCTTCGATTTCAAATTTCTCGTATTTTGATAGATTTTTGACGATCTTCAAGGAACAATTGCAGTTTACAGGAACTGTCATATCAATAAGGAGGCACTTTTTTGTTTGTGTTCTATAATAATAATAATACTAATACTACTACTACTACTAATAATAATAATATTAATAATCTGTCTTTCGTCATTTAATCATTTGTTTATATTTTCTAATATGAAATATATATTATAATTTAGATTTCTTTAAAGATTTGATGTTTGGGCCCATTCTACATATGAGAAACTGCGTTCAAATTTCCTCACATGGTGAAGGCATATTCTTTATATATTGCAGTTATAATTTATATATATTAATAGTTCACATATACATGAAATATGTTATATGTATACGAACATATGATTGTATATGATGATGAACAAGGAAATCGCTTCTCATCCAAAATACACTTCCTTTCATTGATTAATTTCACTGTGCATAAATTAGCAGCAAACCATTTATTCTCACTTGTTCTCCTTCAATATTGTATTTTCCTTTTATGTGTGATTATAAAATTGTCAATGTTCTCTATCCTATTGAAAAATTGAATAACCAATTCATTATCTTTACTCGAAACTTCATTTTATTTTTTAAAAAATGACATGCGTAAACATATGCAAACAATATCTACATATTGACATTTGCTAGAACCTTTACATATGATTTAAAGGAGTTTTTTCTGTTAGTGGATACAAATTTAGTATTAAAATTACAAATATCTGTACAGTAAGTGTTCTGCTTGCTGGGGAAATATATTCAATTAACACAAACAATATTAGTATACATTATGAAATGACAATTACAGTTCAAAATGTTTCTATATTTATTTAGAAATTTACTTTCTTTCTAATAAATGCTGTGCATGCTTATAAATAATCTGAAATCAATATACGGCGAGGCTTTTTTTTTCTAGAAGAACAAAGAGTTGAAAAGAGATAAAAATGTCAACCTATCAAGACGTTTCTTTTTTATTTGTTGAGTTCCCTTTGATGCTGAAAACTTTGTATGATGCAATCGAGATGGTGAGTAAGATCACAAGATCAAAAGGTCCTAGAGAATCGAAGTAGATTTGAAGTAAGAAGGTATCGGCTTCCTGCGATTAAGTTTTACTCCATTCGCTTTCAAGTGGGCTTTCTGTAAGCCTAAAGTGCCGGGAAATGATTAATACCTGGTGTTTTGCGACTAAAAAAAGACAAGTTCTAAATAGAATGTCTAATACATTTCTCACTTTATTTAATCTATTAGATACGATTTTTATTTTTACTACTGTTAAACTATTAAGTAAATAATATATTGTATTTATCTGTTACTATTCTTTGCTTCATCGATTACTAATATGCCCTTACTAGTAAATACACCTGAATATATATAAACATTAAAAAGATAATGTAAATTATTAATAATA